TGGCTTTTAAAATTCAGCCAATTTGGACTTTATCTATTATTTATTTACATGTCAAAATCGAAAACTTTCAACCCCATGTTTTCATTAACCAAATCGCGAATCAAAGCGAATGTCAAATGAAGCAATAATAAGACATGGCTTACACAGTGACTGCAGCTCACTAGATTTTTAACATCTTATAATTTTTTTGGATTCTATTTTTTTTTTTGGAAATGTAGAAGGTGTGTTTTTATGGTACTTTTTAATATAACATTGTCTTTCTTTTTTTTATTATTTTAAACAACGGTGATTGCTCGTTAATTGGTCGAATAATTATTTCGCATTCACTGTATGTGAGCGCCGAACGATTTTTAAACTTGATAAAACTTAAAAAACATAACTTAAAACAAATAATATGCCCACAAGTGCGATGAAGCCGGAATTTTCAAAGTATTTCTCGGACATATGCATAAACACATTTTCAACGGCCTCCCTGGAAATCGCACAGTCATCGCCCGTTCCTCGCGATTTTTCAAAGTTGGCCAAGCAAAAAACGCCCGTCGTAGTCCGTTAAACCTGTGGGTTCGAATTGTACGTCTCTGTCCCCCGCATTTCTCCCCAAGAACGATATCCGCCCAGTCATCGTCTACAATTTGACGGTGAGAACGCTCGTCAAACAAATGTCGAAGTCGTCTCGGAGTTAATTTCGGAGCGGGCCTCAAAATCGACCCTTTTTCCATATTTTCGCTAATAGCCATCGCCTATTTCTCAAACTTATCTGACAGCGTTCAACTTGGCTCATTTATCTTGTGTCGGTAATCTCGTCGGACCCCGTTAATGATGAATTATGATGTCGGCCTTAAGTTATTAGGCAGAGAAAAAGTTTCCAAGGCCCGATATGTCGCGGATAAGTTTATTCAAATTGGCTACAACAGCAACGGGTTTTTCATAATTGCAGCAGCAATTTTATCTTTTTCGTTTTTAGAGATATCCAAATAACCAAATAACCAAAGAGTGCCCTGACATACAAATAATAATAATTATAATTTTATTCACGTATTGGTATACAATAAAAACGACACGGTTCGGATGAACAAAATAAGATATTTTGTGTCTAAATTAACTTAAAATTTATAGAGATATAGTCGATTTTTCATATTAAGCCATCGGACTTGCTTAAGTTTACGACGAACTGGCCTGCCGCGTTTAATCCCAAAAATGAATCTTAGACAGTATTTCTGGATTTTTTGAATCCGTTCTGAGGCAGCCGCTGTCAGACATGGGCCATGGACGACACCACAGTGGTTAAAAGAAGATAAAACTATCAAATCGCACAGGACCTTTTTTAATGATTGATTTAAAATATAAACATAAAACATAAAAATACGTTTATGTTTGACATATTAGTAAACAACGTTGGTGGTTGAATGACTATCCAAGTCATTACTGTTAAAATGGTTTTTCGCAAATTTAACATCCATGATGTTTCCAGATATTTTCAAGGCTGGCGAAGAAATTTACAGAAAACGGTAAAAAATTATGTCGGAATCATAATGTTTTAAATGAAGAAAATACGGCAAACATATTAGGATTCTATGTAGCACATCGAGTGATACATAAATTCCCTCAGTTTTGAAAGAATATAAATGTAATGCATCTAAATTTCGTAAAACTCAAAAACTTGGTGCAGGACAATGTTTTATGGACTGATAAAACTTCGTTCACTACAACAAAGGGCTGTAATAGAGAAAATACGCGATATTGGTATATAAATAACCCCACACAAATACACAAAATAAAAACCCAGGGATACCAACCAATGGTGTGCTGGCAAAATGGGCTTATTTTGAGTCCGATATTTATAGATCAAAAGTTAACTGACGATCGTTATTTGCAACTCTTAGAGCACCAAATAAAACAATATATAGAAGATTTACCCCTAAATATATCAGCGCTGATTATATGGCTGCAAGGCAAGTTAATTTCTAAACATGGAATATCCCAGGGGTTGGATAGGGAACGGCGGAACTATGGATTGGTCAGCCAACGGCCATGTTCGTAAACAGTACTCATATACCAAAGTTTCCGAACCTTGTAAACTTGTTCTAAAAAATAACAAATACGTAAAAAAAATAATCCTGATGCCGTTCCCGCGGTAAAATGACACGTAAAAGTGGGATGAGAACGTTCGAAACTCCGAATATGCGGGTTTAATAACAGCGCACATTCCGTGCGACTGACTCGCAAAGGAACACGACAGAATTGTTTCGTTCTAACGGTAAAGACCGAGGCACGCTGGTAAAGTAGGCTGTGCGAAGATTCCTAATTGCGCACGGCCTTCTACAATTTTTTCGCGAGCAATATTAAGCAATTTTAATCAAAAATGTATTATCTGATCATTTAATTGAACCGCCCTTGTAGAAAATAAAAAATAAAGAAATATAATGTTCTTATATTAAAAACTATTACAGAAACACACTTTCTACATTCTTTTTCATGGGTGTAAGTTTATGGAAAAACTTATATAAAGACATGCGCACAAAAATCTTAACGCTTTCTTTAGAAACTTTTATCTGCTGCAATTTTTTCATAAAAATTACCGTTTCCAAATAAAAAATAGAATCTAAAAAAATTGTTAGTTATTAAAAATCTAGTGAGCTGTTGTCGCTTTTTAAGGCGTATCTTATTATTGCTCAGTGAGTTTGAATGCAAAATACCCTTGTTTAAAATAAGCAAGAAAGAAAATATTGTAATATTAAAAATTGCTATAAAAACAAGCTTTGTACATTTTTTCAATTAGTAAAAAATTAACGAATGCAACGAAAATTACGCTTTATTTAGAAACTTTGGCTCCTGCAATAATTATTATTGTGTTATTTGACATTGCTCAGTTGAATACAAAATACGATAAATTTCACCCAAAATTTATTACCTGATCATTCCATTGCTTTATTTGACATTATCCAATCATTTAATTGTTCAATTGTTTAATAATTAGAGTTTAAATTCAATAGTAAGTAAGTTTTTCGCGTATTGAACTCGCATTTTTCCAATTCAATATGACCAAGCCATCTTTTCAAAAATTTTAAATAACTTTTTGTTAAAAACGTCGTTATTTAGTGATAATTAATATTTCCATTTTGTAATGTGAAATTGTCTTTTAACGTGTTAAACAGAACTGTGTTATAAATAAAAAAGAAAAACGTTTAAAGTCACACGAGAAAATATAAATCAAAATAAAATTTCTTAAATAAATGCCGTGTCAAATGTTGGTCTTTAAAAGCATACAGGGGGGTTGAAACCAAAACTTAATTTTCGAAAGATGTTGGCAATTCAATAACCGCTTAAAATATTAAAACCATTCACGGGAGAGGCGCATATGGAAATATTTGATACGTCTCAATCTCAATCATTAAAAAAATAGCCCTTTACAACAAATATGGAAACGCTTCTTACATCACGTGGTCTAATCTCAACGTGAACCGCCGTGTACATCTCCTTCTCCGCGATGTAGCAATAAACTTTTCACTTAACTACACAAAACGAACTTTGAACCGATTTTCCTTTTTTTTAAACGAGGCGGAGACCAGGAATTTAATTACACGAGCCGGCCAGTGGTGCCCGCGTACCGTCGAAAATTGAACATCAAAACACACAGGGCGTTTCATTTTTCCTACGCGCGACGGATGATTTATCGTCTCGGACGGAATTTAGTACCTGTCACGGAGCATTTTTAATTACCGGCCAGGTCGGGGTAATTATTGTGATGCAAAAATATTTATGAACGGGCCGTAAATAAAAGAGATTTACTAGGTAATCGGCTGAACGCGTCCTATGTTTCGAAAGGCCGAGGACCACACTTCGGTGTAATTAAAAACGCGATATAGGCGTCTCGAGTTTTTCGGTTTCAACGTGGAGAGAGGTCGTTTATTTTCCATCGCAGTTCAAGATGGGAGATGGTTCGACGTCGTGCTTTCGAATAAAGGCAGTACGAAACAAACATAAGGTAGTTATGGCCTAAAAAAACCCCGTGTAATATTTATATTCGATGATGATCAAAGTTATTGATTTGCCTATCAAATTGAAAAATTATAAAAAAAAGTGCACTTTTTTAAATATACACATATTAAGCAAATTAATAATTTATCATTTCTAGCGTTTTGGAATTAACAGTTCAGATTGTTCATACATGTTCTCCGTTCAGTCAGTTTTCAAGTTTACTTTTTTTTAGGTAGGTGTTAGTGTTTAGATTTAAATAAAAAATGAAGTTGCTGCGCAAAAAGTCACGTTTTCTGCAAATCGACTTGAAAATGCAAAGGTTTTCAAATTAAATAATACGTGCTTTGTATAAGACTTATAAACACATTCTTTTAATCTTTTAAATATGATAAAAATGTCGTAATAATTGCTCCTCCCATCACAAACTTTAATTCGATTGTCTTAGTTGCGAAATTATGATGGCAAATTATTTTTTTTAAAGCCCTACTACTTTAAGTAGAGTTTGACAAAACAAGAGGGGTTTCCTTAATTTCTGGCATAAAATATGCGTTTAACTCTATGATATCTTCAATACCCGTTAAAGCATTTTTTAAAAATATTAAGTAACAATGAAGATTTTACAGTTACTTAAGTCACTTAAAGTTTACAAATCCTTTAATTTAATTTAAATCTTTTTCGACCTCTACAAAGTTATCATGGTCCGACAAGCAAAAAACAAAAATCATTCGCTTTTTTTAACAATCAAAAATCATAAAATATTTGCGGATCGGACGGTGTCAAATTTAACATTTCAATGTTGACGCTACTTTTTCGAAGAATCGGCAACGTCGCAGTGATAATAGATCGATAGGGCATCGCCGCTTACGGAACTAACCCAATTTTCAGAACTATTCAATGTCCCACTCTTCTAAGTATCGCGAAACACCTTATATGTGACACTAAAACGTTGCCTACAAGCTCCGAGCTCCCCAAAAGTTTTAATGGCCCGAATAAAATCGATATAAGAGAAGAGCGCGACTTACCGTGATGGGAATATCGTGGTGGTCGCAGGTGTCCAGTTTTCTGCGGAAACGGAGCACCGTGTGTGTGCTGTTTTCGTAACCGAGCAAAAGCTGGTAATCCTGGCTGGGATCCACTTCCGGCTCGCGATCGGTCGCGCTGCCTGGCGAATGCTTCACGTGTCTGTCCTGAAACCAAACAAAAATAACCCTTATTAAATGCGGTCTGATTTATTAACGTTTTTAAAGGTTGACATTTGGCGTAAAGTTGAATATAACGCGACAGAATAAAACTCGCAGAGAAATTCTTTCCTCATCCTCCCAAGATGAATTAATTATTATATTCCCGAGCCGTCCCTGTAAATTGCGATGACAAAAACATGGGAAAGGCTTCAAAAAAGGGCTATTGGTAAAGTTCTACGTGGTTAAATACAGAAGCGACGCTTCACAATTCCGAAAACAGTAGACATGACATAATTTCACGCTTTAAGACCGGCACCAGTTTTTACGAGTCGCCGGATGGGTCCGACGTTGTTTGCGGTCGTACAACATAATTTAAAAATACGATTGACGATTACCGTGACCGGCATTTCCCGTCGTCGTCGTCTGCCTTTCGGTTTCTATGTAGCGACGATGACAAAGTCTGCGAAACGGCCGGGGACGAATAACCGACACCTACGAGCGGATTTTATTGCCGGAATAAAGATGTTTACGCTGGACGTTTCGTATAGTTTTGTCCGCTTTCGTCTGAACAACGCAGATTTTTACGGTCGCCATATTTTATTCAATGACCCGGAAACAATACGCGATGTAAAACTTATGTCATCGAATCGCTTTTTGGGGACACATTTTAGACAACCTCCAGATAAGCGTTGCGGCCGAACTGTTCTGACAAGTCGTAATCATGCGCTACTCGATCAGTTGGACAGGTGCGCCTTAACTTATCCCAAATAGGCAATGTTGGCAATATTAGGTATTCTTTAAACAGCAAAGACATGTTTTAAAGATATAATACCCCAGGTTTACGAATAAAACCTAGTGCTAACAATACAGGGTGTCCATTATTACGTGGAAATTTTGAAAAAAATCGACTCTATACACTTTAACAGATTGAATAAAACTTCCGAATACATATTTAAAGAAGCAGTTAGTAGTTAACTAGAAAAACTATAACTTATCTAAAATACAAATAAAATAAATACTAACAAAAAACTTGAAATCTACGAACTTTTCAAATTAGAATATGAAAAACAACAAAAACAAACAGAAATGTCAACGTTTACCTTAATGCGTTAAAAAGGAGATCGTGTGTCATAGCCAACTACATTTTAAGTATTTTGATATTTCTTTGTTGTTTTCATTTTACTAGCAACATTTTTAACTAAACTTTATGGACCGAATTAATAACCCATAAATTCAGAAGTTTTATTAAATTTGTTAAAGTGTAAAATTTCCACGTATTAGGAGACACACTGTGTTAGTCTGCAAAATGAGCTAAAACAGCCTCTTTTAACTCAACTTCGTCCATGCAAGTCCCTTTTCTAATAATAGTCGCTGGGGGCCATATCTGGACTATAGGGAAGATGATCTATCTGTTGAAACCCCCGCTCTAAAATGGCAGCTTCACGCACGCACGCCTGTTGCAGTCTCGCAATGGTATTATTTTCTTTAAAATCTATCAAAAGATTTCCTTCACAATCCCAAAAGATCGTGGCCATCACCTTTTTTGTTGACTGACAGACTCTGAATTTTCTTGGAGGGGCTTCACCCTTACGACGCCACTCGATCGATTCCTTTTTCGATAGAGGGTCATAATAGAGAACCAACTCCCGTCACAACACCTTCTATCACAGGCTTCGGTTCCGACCCACAGAGTTCCAAAAAAGACCGCGCACACTCGACACGGCGTTGTTTTTGAATAGCCGAAAGGTTTTTAGGAACCCAACTTGCACTAATGTTATGCCTACTTAAATGATCATTCGACGAACACTTCTATCAGAAACCTTAGTAATTTCTGAGATTTGCTTGACCTTTAAGCGTAGATCACTCAATACCACCTCTTCCACAATCGCAACTTTATGACTGTTCTATAGTCAATTTGCGTTATTTGCGACATTTTTTCGGACACGTCTTGTTTAAAATGCTGTCAATAAAAAACTATTCCCCCGTATTATGAGATCTAATAATTTATCTTTATATAGAATTTTTAATATCACCTTCTGGTGAAACAAAATAGTCGTTAAACTCCTACCAAATTGTGGGCAATTGTGTGCTAGAGCTATTTGTCGCAATAAATTTTAAAACAATATAAAAAACCGCCGCAATTTTCTTGCCGACGCAAGCGAGGCTTTAGGCGACGAATCTGCTTCTAAAACTTCTAATGTTGTCAGACGCGTCGCGAGCCAGCGAGCCGCTTTAGAAACCCTTCGAGGAAAACGAAGAAACGTGAAGAAAGCGGCGAACCGGCGATAATGGCGATAAATATTCCGAGATGGCGTTTTACCGAACGTAAAAGGACAACGTCCCGTTTATGATACGATCTAAGACGGGTAGAATTTATACTGCCTTCCTATTTAAAAGGACTTATAAGGCCGTATAACATCCGATGTCAATTATAATCTTTCTTAGACAAAAGATGGTGCCTCGACGGCTGTAAATAAAGGAGTGCCTGGTGTACTGGCGGTAGCTGCCGGACCGCACACGCTATTGCAGATACGCATGCGCAAGATGATTGATCTGCGCGTCAGCCGCGATGCTCAAAATTGGGGAAGCTCTAGCTACCAGAAGTAGTTGTAACTCCAAAAACATACCAAATAAAAGCCCATGGTTCTGCAGAGAAGTTAACGAAAAGTGCAATTGAAAGAATGTAGCGTACCTAAACTGTACGACCCTAAGAAACGCACAATCATTCGGATGTTACAAAACGTAGCAACTGAATAGACAAGGAACTTATCGAAACCAATCAAAATATCAAAGAAACCTGGATAGAATATCTTACAGATTTATATGAATCGAACACACCAGAAAAGGCCCCATCCAGGACCATTCAAATACTGCGGAGAAAGCCTTAGGGCCCAACAATTCTGATGATTTACTCCCATGTGAAATGCATGGAATGCTGTAAACTCCTGGTCTCCATCCAAACGATCAAGTACACAATGGTTGGGGCTGATTTTCTATTGATAAAGATATCTAAGAATAGGAGCTTATTATCACTTTCGGGTGTATGGAGTTTAAACGACTAAGAAACCCCGCGACCTTGAAAAATAAATGTAAATAAACTGAGGGAAAATGTAAAACCAGCAATTGTACCACTGGATGATAGCGATGACACAAATTCAAATTATTCTAATAACCTACTAGCAAATAAAAACGTTACTAGCATAATAAGAAGAATGACGTAGCACCATTGGGACCATTAGAAAAACTATAGGAACGTATTTTTTGTAATGCACTCAACGGTGAGATGGAGAAGTTCCAAGAAGGAAATTATGATTGATACTTCAAAGAAACTTCCATAGGTTACTGTAATACTATTTACAAATCTTCTCCTGCTGGCTTCTTCAGAGTTCATCTGGCTTCAGTTCAGTCAAATTCTGGCTCCAGAAGAGTTGCAAATTTCGAGTGGTCTATTTTCAGAAACTAAGCATTTTGCAAGCAAAAACCTCCAGAACTATGGACGAACCAAGACCGCGCTTACTGCGGATATTAAAATGTAAACTGTATTACGTGATATAGGTGAAGTTTTGGAGTACGGCTCTGGGAATTGGCGGCTAACTTTACGACAGTCTCATCCGTATACGAGATAACCCTATATGGTGTAGTTAACATAGTTGCTGCGTACGGGGACTTGTTTTCCGTGGATTTATAACAGGCTATGACTTAATTATGAGAGCCCGTTTAAAAGTTTTTTTTCCCGAAGATTAATTCGGCCGGTTTTCATACCGCCGGACAAATCAACTTTCGGAATACGAAGAAGAAGAAAAAAAGAACGGAACCCGCGGGGCTGTCGTCCAATCTTTTGGACAATAAGATATGATTGTAGTGTCCGCCGCGGCAAAAACTCGAACGACTGGTTATCATTTCGCTTAAACATGGACGTTACTCCGGACCAAATCCGCCACGACGTACTACCGGGTGTCAAAATATATCTTGCGACAACACTAACCAAGACTAAAAACCTGGTAACTTTCAAACGTTAAAGAAAAATTGTTGTAATGTTTAGTGGTAGTAGTTTCTTCTTCCCAGAGGAAGAAATCCACGGGCGAAAGGAAATAATTCATTCTTCAAACTGCCGATATATTTAACGTCAAAGTCAACGCTCTTCTTAGACGGAAAAAAGGTGACATATAATACAATAATTAAGACCCAACGAAATTTTTTGACATTTTGACATTTTGACAGTCGTCAATTTAACCGTTTGTTTAGTTAACAATAAGGAACCAATTAAATTAAAGCTTCTTGCTGTGGACTGTGGACTCTTTCGTGTTCTTTGAGTCACTCTTTTATTCTCTATTTATATATCGCAATACTCAAAAGTATTTTATAATCTACCAAGTGAATTTGAAACAATAAACACTAAACGCGCTTCAGAGGAACTGCACAAATATCTGTTATCATAAAACAATTTTCTTATCTCTTGTTCCTTCAATTGTAGTTGATTTTCTATTTGTTTATGTTTTGCGTAATACAATTTAATAATGTTTTTTTACTTGTTCAAGTTTGTCCAAAACCACCATGTTCCCAAAATGCAGTTCCGGTTTATTCACAATCGGTCACGTAAAATTTTTTTCGCAGCCGTTTGGACGTATGTAACCCAATAAATATTTCATATTCTAATGGACACTTTATCCAATTCAAACAAATGGCATTAGCAAAATAAACAGACGAAAATTAATCGGCAGTTATTAATATTTAATTAAATAATATTCGTGCGTTGAATTTACCGGTAATTTTAACATTCGTATCGCGCGTCAGCCTCAGCTTTTACAGTGCGAATCATAACGAGAACTAGTCACAACTCAATAAATGGGGTAACCATTGATTTCTTACTAAATTATTATAATCGTATTTATTTCACTACAATTTAAATAAAAATAAAAAATACGCGAATTCTCAGTCAATAAATACAGGGACATGCGGCAGAATTCCTCAATATTGACCGCCTTGTGAGAATCAAATATTGAAAT